ACACACACACACACACACACACACACACACACACACACACACACACACACACACACACACACACACACACACACACACACACACACACACACACACACACACACACACTGCACCCACATCTCCATAATCGCAGCGACCGCTCGCATGGAGGGTTATGAACAACATAAACAGTAGCGACTGATTTCAGTTGTCAACCACTTTTTCCGACCGCTCCTCCCTCCTCCTGACGAAAACCCACCCACCCACTCACTGTTGTGCTGCTGCGTCGTCACGCCTTGCCCAGCACAGCAGAGCAGAGCACGAACAACAAAGCACCCCATCAGCGATGTCCTCCTCTCACGACGACGATGACGGCGAGAGCCACGAGATGGTGGAGTTTGAGGAGAACCCCCTGGCTCGGTACGTGTGTTCGTTCACGTGTGCTTGTGTGTGAATGCGATGGCGAGGGTGAGGGGGAGGCCGAGGGCGAGATCGAGCATGCTGTTTGAGGGGGTGTTGTCCGGCAATGGGATGGCGCCATGGTCACAACGATGCAAGTTGGCGGTTTCACTCACCCACAACATGTTCTTGTTATCCTGTTCTCTCTTGTTATCCTGCTCTCTCGTTATCCTGTTCTCTCTCGTTATCCTGCTCCTCCCTTCCGTTGTCAATGACGTGATCCACTACAGCGATGCTCCACCGCCGCAATACCAGCCAACACCTCGCTTCTCCAGCAGCCACGAGCACACGCCAAGGCCTGCAGGCAATGATCGCAGCAGCGCTCGGCGAAAGTCCGTTTGTTGCTTGTTCACGATGACACACGAGAGTGTACGCACATGCAGTCAATCAGTGCTCTCCATGCTCACGTACATGGGTTAACAATGACGTTTACACACATAAGCACACACACGCGCGCACACACACACACACGCGTACACACACACACACACACGCGCGTACACACACACACACATACACACACACACACACATACACACACACACACACACCCGTACACACACACACACAAACACACACACACTCTCTCTGTCTCTCTTCCCTCAACATTTTGCTCACTCTCATACACATGACATCAACCCCCCTTCTCCAAACACTCACTCTCATTCTCGCACTGTAGGAGCAGCCGGTTTGATCTGGTTGACATTGTGAACATGCTTCCGAGCCAGTCGCCCGCCGCAAAGAACCTGCAACTTGAGGCCACCTTCAACGAGCTTGCCTTTGTCGAGTCAGATGACCCCGTCGCAGCCACCATGGGCCGCATCACTTCGCGCCAATCAAAGCAGTTTTCGCGGCAGGCCACGCGCCGTCGCACGTCCCTCTGGGGCGGCGATGAGGAGCTCAACAAGCACAAGCGGCAGCTCGACAACATCAAGAAGAAGCCGCACCGCATGAGCATCAAGATCCAGGAGGCGCGGTTGGTATTGATGTGTTCATGTGATGGTGGAAGACAAGCGGGGGAAGCGATAATGTGTGTGTGTGTGTGCGTGTGCGTGTGTGTGTGTGTGCGTGTGTGTGTGTTCTGGATAATTGGTACGCGTACGATCATATGTGCGTTTCTTTACACTCTTTGCGTGTGCCTTGTTACCTTCTTATTGCTGTCGTACCTCACCACGGCCCCCGCGGCTGTACAACTTCCACATGTGTGTGTGTGTGTGTTCCATTAGCGTGGACCGCGAGGGCCTGAAGCGCGTGCAATCCCAGATCTCGGGCTGGCAGTGGTTCATCGCCGAATACTCTGTTGTACGTCACTGCGTTGTGTTCATGTGCATGCGGCTGTGTTATTGCGACTGTGTGTGTTGTGTGTGTGTATGGTTGTACAAGCAACCACAGGTTCGCTCACTTTCTCACTTATTCAACCACACACACACACACACACGTCTTCATACACACACACACGCACACACACACACGTCCTCATACACACACACACACACGCACGCACATCTTCACACAGCGTTGGCGGCGGTTTCGCCAGCGAATTTGGGATGCGGTGATGGATGCGCAAATCTGGAACACGTCCATCAAGATCCTGGAGGGCCGGCATGGCGCCGCTGTTGGAACATACTTCCGGTAGGCCATGCATGCATGGATGGATGGATGGATGGATGGATGGATGACATCAGGCGCTGCATGGTGGGCCTCTGCTGGTTGCGCACATGTGTCATGTGTGGCAATTGAACCACGCGACAGTGCGCACTGGTGTTTCCTGGAACTCTCTCTCTCTCACTCACACGTGTCGACCACCCACGCGGTTGCGCTCCTCTTCAGGTTCCTGCGTCTCAACTTCATCATCAACATCATCCTCGGCATCTGCTACGTGTCCTTCGGCATTGTTCCAGTGAGTGCACGCATGGATACACACAGCTGCGCACACACACACACACACACACACACACACACACACACACACACACACACGACGGAGACAACACTAATGACCCCAACTAAACCCTGCCTTCCCCTACTTTTCAAGAATTATTGCACTGGTCTAGATGCGGAC